CCCCCCCCCCCCCCCCCCCTCGCCCACGCCTTCGATCTCTTCGCAACAACTTTGCAACAACGCGTTTGCAGTTGAAAGTGAGACCTGCGCGGCGTGCTTCGAAGCTTCGACCAGCGACGCGTTTTTTACTTGCCTTGACAACCTCCCCATCTTTACAACAGACGACGGTTGCGACAGCAACGAGGACTTCGCCTGCTGCTTCAACGAGGCGTCAGGCCTCGACTGCATCAACGACCCCACCACATTTGCATTGATTGAGTGCTTGTACGACGACGCCAACCACTGCGAGGAGAACTGGACCTGCAGCGGCTTGAGCCGTGGCGGCGCTCCTTCCACAACCTCGGCCTCCGGTTCTACCCCGACGCCATCTCTTCCTGCAACGACTTCCGCTACTGGCGGCGGGGCTGAGACTGCGGCGCCAGCCGCACCGGCTGATTCTACGACTTCTGCCGGCGTAGATGACACCATGGCGCCCTTCGCCACCGACGGCGGCATGTATAACTGAGATGGAAATTTGCGCCCACAGGTCGCAACTCGATTTGCGCTGGGTCGAGGTAGCTAGGGGCATGGGTCTACACATATGCCGTGGTCTATCTATGCATGCGCTATGCGTTTAGGAAGGAGGGGGCCGTTTGTACTCCGCTAAACCCGCGGCTGTTGGTGGATGGATGCATAGACTGCTGCAGACTGCAGCTAACTAGCTGTAGTCGGCAATTTTTTCAAGTAAATAACACACTGGTCTAATCTCGCAGCAATAGCCCCTCCCTCTTCATGGGGGGCATGGCGTGCTGTTGTGGAGACTGGTTGTTGCTGCAATGCGTTGTCTTGATGGATGTTGTCGTTGTTGTTCGTGTGTGTGCATATGTGGGAAGGATCTGAGGACGGTTCTGTGTTCCGTAGATGAAGGGACATACGGCGGTACCTTTTTGTCAAAGGTATACCCCAAAAAAAAAGATAGGAGGCGCACTCGAGAAAAAAACATATGATTTGGCGTCGTCGGGATGGACCCCTCCTCGTGCAGAAAAAAATGCCTCCTGAGTGTGCAAAAAACTTACGTGGGCAGACCATCTCGTTCAATCCCCTCGCACTGAGAGATGAGAGCAGCGGGCTGGTAGGGATACCCATCTACCCACCTGGGCTCTGTGCACACACTGAACCTTGAACGGGAGCCGCTGGTGCTCGGTGAGTGGAGAAATCCATAGTTGAGTGCAGAAGATTCAAATTCCAAACTCCTGCATCCGTCCGCGTGTCGCCGCCGCTCTCGGTCCGTGAGCACGCTTGTGTGCAGCACGCTGGAGAGGGCTTGGTTCAACATGTCGGGTACGCATCGCAACGGTTGTTTTGCGCCGTCTTGTGTATAATTGGCAATTGCTCAGCAAAAGTATGGTATGGAGGGGGTGCGGTCGGTAGACAAGGGTCACCGACATCGGCGTGTGTACCTTGCAGACCTTGTGCTTGCGAGCTCTCTGGTGTGTCGTGGAGATTTCCTGGTGAAGGACGTGCGCTGAGGGCAAGGGCGTAGGTGTTAGGACCGTTGTTTTGTGAGGGGTGGGTGCGTTGCCTCTCTATTTGAGGGGAAAAAAACGGGGATGGGCCATGGAAGTGAAATCGCGACATTGCCTGCGATATGTTGCCGCCCCTCTGATCGCTGTCCTCTGATCGCTGTGCACGCGCTGCTGGGGAGCGCCTGGGCGATCGTGTGTGTTGTGGTTTACGGAGGTTGTATCACCACTACTGACCTGGGGTAACATCTGCCATGCGTGTATTATTTTAGCCCCTGGAGAAAGGAATGTTTGGGGTGTGTGCCAGCTTGCAGCTGCTGTGCTCGACATCCCTTCAGTTAGGTTACCTTCTGGCGTTTGTCTTTCCTTCCTGTTGAACGATGGGGTTATTAATGCGTGTCTGCGGACATGGCCCTTGTTTCACAACGCCGGGCATAGCCCATCACTCGCATACGCCGATAATTACTTTTGATTAGTTCCGTCTTCGGCTACATCCCCGCAGCATGAATATTCCGCCTTGATCATGCGAGGTAGTTTCTCGAGTGCTCAAGGCGATTTCCGATGGATGAAAAGCCATAACATGTCCTTCGCCATTGTTAAGTACACCTCTTAAAAAGGATCAGGGCTCTGGTGCGGGTTGTTTGAACGGACGCCACTTGTCCTCACAGGATTGGTACGATGGCAACTGCTCGCCAGGTGGAGGGCGGACTGTTAGCAGGAGAGGAAGACGAAGCCTTTGCTGCTGTGGGGCTCAGCCATCTCCGGCTTGAGAACGTGAGTCCATCACTCGAATAGCATACAGGTGTCAGCGTACCGGAAAGATTTGGTGGGCACTTGTTCGCGTGATTAATCGTTAATGCACCTAACTGCAACCTTACGTTCTAGATCGCTGGTGACCATCCGCTTTATTGCTGTACCAGGACGGCGATAGCGACGGGGGTTCGGAGCGGGACGAGAGGGCACCCAGCGAGGGCGAAGGGGAAGAGGAAAGTTGCAATGCCGGTGAGAGCGTGGACAGGTGTCCTGCCCATTCATCAAGGGTTTCGTGCGTAGCAACAGTCGCCGAGGGTTGGCACCTCGAACGCGTTGTCGTCGCCAATTGGAGTTTGCCGCTGCCGTGAAGTAGTTCATCGGTGTGCATGGCACGTGTTGTCGAAACTGTCCGTTTTTTTTTTTTTTTCTGTTCTTCTCCCCTGCTGCGCAGAAGAAAACGTGCGTCGCCGTTTAGTAATGGCTGACGGTGACGATGACGACGAAGAGACGAGGGAGATCGTGGACGTCATAGACAAC